AGGTTTCCTTGGATTTAGGTCACCAAAAAGAAGATTGGACACAGGTTCCTTTTGATTGAAATATACCTTCATAGTCACCATTGGCAAAATATCTAGCTTAGTTAAAAAGACATGAATCTGGAATTACAGGAAGATTTAACAGTAGAGGGCAGAGTTTAAAACAATTGAGTCCAGGACGCCAGGGCCAAATCAACCTAAAGTTTACCTATCTCTGTTCGGTAGTTCAGCAGTGGATATTGTATGTTAGAAGGTGACTACAAATGTTCATTTTGTGCTTCTAGTTTGGTTGCAACATTGGCAGCAGAATCTAATTCAGTAAACAGTGCACTGGAAAGAATAATAATGTCCACGCATTCTCGTGAATGAGATCATAGCTTAATTGAGCTTCTTGCTAAATCTTATTGCGATGTGCCATATTGTGTCTTTCGAACAAACATAATTTGTTAATTGGAACTAAACATAATCATAACTCAAAAAAACATGATGTCTGGTTGGTTCTGCAGGGGTAGGCTTTCAATATACATAAAGGAATGTTGTACAGGCTCTTCAGAGTTATGGCAATCATAAAAGGAATACAATGTTGTATGTCAATGGGACCCAGGTGGCGATCCACTTGTATAATATCAAACGGACATGATTTTTTTTTCCGTATGCAATATTGAAAAAACCACTGAAGGCAAATGCATGCTTAAGGATGGAGCTGTTGTTTTACATTGAATCCTAATGATCATTTTTTAACTTAAGAAAAGGAAGTTTGTAAGTATTTTTTAAGACAGTAGGGAATCAAAAATGCAACTCATTTGCAGTGACTGCTAGCTACAGATTACTGTATCTAAATAGATATAGTGGAGGAGTATTGTAGTTGTCTGAAGTGATCTTATTTATATTCTTGCAGTTGGAACTGCGCTTCCTGTTTCTTGGTCATAACAAGACAATGATGGAGCTTAGATCAACAGACTCGGGCTGGGATTTGGCCAGTTCAGTTGCTGGTAGTCCTTATGTGATTAGTCATTACTGTCTTAGTTGTGCTTGTGAACACAATGTGTAGTACTAGAATAACATTTTCAAACCTTAATGAGGTGTCCACCGTTGACTGAAGGGGATATGGTTTCTTGAGTCAAACTCCACCACCATTAATAAAAACCAAAAGAACTGCAGATGCTGTAAATCAGGAACAAAAACTAAAGTTGCTGGGAAAGCTCAGCAGGTCTGGCAGCATCTGTGAAGAAA